TATGTGCATGGCTCATTGCTGACATTGGGACAAGGCGTGGTTGTCCAAGGAGACTGTCACAATACTGGGTTCCTCTTGTCCCAGGCAGGCCCTGTGGGGGTAACCTGTGTGTCGAAGGGCGTGCATTACTACCCCCACTCCGCGGGGTTGTCACCCTCCTCTCTGGTGTGCCCTCTTTCCGTGGGGATTTCTGATTAGACCTGCCCACACGTGTTGGGTGCGGATGTTGAACGTGGGGTACCCCTCATGGTAAAGCAGGAGTTGATGGAGGAGGGAGGTCTGCGATCGGGGTCCTGCTGTTGGGGGGTGGCTGCGAAGACGCGGCCCACTCTCCTGATGCGGCGCAGCTGCCCTTCCCGGAGCTGAGTGCTTAGACGCGGGGCCCTCCCGCTCTGCGCACCTCGCCTCAGCCAGGCTGCCTGGTTTGTTGCAGTTGTCTCCTGGGAGCCATCCATGTGAGGCCGTGTTGATGGAACCTTTAGGGAGCCCACTCTGCTCTCGTGACCGCCGCACCCTGGCCACGCACTTGTCCTGCTGTAGGGCCCGTGGTGCGCTCTCAGGCGAGCTGGCGAGAAGTCCCGTGCTCATAGCCTCCCCGCCGGACACTGCGGGGCTGCTTGTGAAGCCGGGGCCTTCGTCTTTGGTCTGAAGTTGTTTTGTTAACAGCGTGGACATTCGCAGGCACTTTTCAGTAGCCTATTAATTTAGCCCTCGCAACGACTCTATGAAGTAGGCCTGGGGAGCTGAGGCGTGGGGAAGTGGAAGAGCTTTTGAGTGTAAGTCGGAACGCCGCCTTGAGGTGTGTACGTTGACCTGTGTCTACCTGTCGCTCTCCGCCTGCATCCCCAGGGCGCGTGTTCCAGGCTGAGTTCGTTTGTTGATTGATAATAGGGGACTTGCACAAATGGGCCCTTGGTGGCAGAGTGAACCGGCTGGAGGCTGGCCTTCTGTACGTCCCAGGTTACCCTTTGCAGGTGCTGGCCTTATTGAGTGAGCTGGAACGGTGACAGGTACTGACTGTTATTTGCGTGGAAGATTGTTATCACCTGAAAATAATCCACTAATATTATGCAGATGTGGTTTCTTTCTTTTTTTTTTTTCTGCTGTCTTAATCTCTTCTTTGGACTTCTCTCGTACAGGTTCGTGCTATGCACTAACATACAACACAAACATTGACGAAGATAATACTGTCGCCTTGCTACCAAATGGTAACAATACTGATTTTTCTTTCTTTTTCTAATTATAAGAGAAATGCATAATGTTTAGAAAACATGAGGTCACCACCTTTTAACTCCTCCTTCCAGACTCACCTGCTTCTTATAGGAAATTGTGAATAACTTGCTGTTTTCCCTCCCAGACATTTTCAGTGAGTTTATAAACGCACAAAGAAGGTTTATAATGTAAATTCCATCATACTACTTCAGTATGAAGTACCTAGCGTAGACACTTTCTGTATCAGCGCACATACAGTCATGCATTGCTTAACAGCAAGGCTGTGTTCTGAGAAAGGCATCAATAGGAGATTTTGTGGTTGTATGGAAACCATTGAGTGTAGGTACACAAGCCTAGATGATACAGCCTGCTACACACCTAGCTGTACGGGGTAGCCGGTGGTTCCCAGGGCCGTGATGAAATCAAACCAAGCACAAGGAAGGTGATGGGATCAAGAGGCAGGGCAGGCTCCAGGTGTACGAGGCTGCTGTCAGCGCAGCGTGGCAGACTTGGTGTGTGTGTGTGTTTGTTACCGTTTACTTAGTTTCATCTACTTGAAAACCAGAGTGAGAGAATCTTCTATATGCGGATTCATTCCCTAGATGCCCACAACCTACAGGGCCCGGCAGGCCAAAGCCAGAAGAAGGCTACAGTTCCCTCTGACTCTACCACGAGGGTGGCTGGGGCCTAAGTACTTGAGCCATATCTGCTCCTTCCCAGGTGTGTTAGCCGGAAACTGGATCAGAAGCAGAGCAGGGGGCCTTGAATCAGACTGGCGCTCTGATCCAGGATTTGGGCATCTTCTGCTGCCTCCAGGATACAGTCAGGAAATTGGATCAGAAGTGGAGGAGCCAAGACCTGATCCCAGGCACTGTGCTATGGGATGCTGGTGTCCTAAGCAGCAGCTTATCCCACTGTGCCACAATACCCGCCCAGTTTTATAGCAACCTTTTAAATATTTATAAAATGTATCCATTTATTTGAAAGAGTTACAGAGAGAGGGGGAGAGACACAGAAAGATTTTCCGTCCACTGATTGACTCCCTCAGTGGCCACAATGGCCAGCACTAGGCCAGGCCAAAGCCAGGAGCCAAGAGCCAGGAGCTTCATCCAGGTCTCCTGCATGGGTGGCAGGGGCCCAAGTACACGGGCCATCTTCTACTTTTCCCAGGCTGTTAACAGTGAGCTGGTTTGGAAGTGGAGTAGGTCAGGCATGAACTGGCAGCTGGATGGGATGCCAGCATTGGTAGGCAGCAGTTTTGCCCATTATGCCACAACGCCGACCCCTAAACTTTTTTTTTTTTTAAAAGGTTTATTTATTCGTTTGAAAGGCAGAGTGAGAGGCAAAGAGAAAGAGAGATCTTCTGATTGTTCACTCCCCCTCCCCCTTCCTCTCCCTCTCTGCCCTGCTGTAACTCTGCCTTTCAAATAAATCTTTTAAGGGAAGAAAAAAAAAAAAAAAAAGGAGAAGAAGAAATGGAGTCTCCGGGACTAAAACCAGGCACTCTATAAAAAAAGCAGGGCGGGGAGGGGAGTAGCCAGGACTTGAACTGGCATTCACATGGAATGCTGGCGTTGTAGGTGCTGGCTTAACCAGCTGCACCACAATGCCAGTCCCCCATTTTTTTTGTGTGTGTATTCAAGCGTATACTTAATAAGAATAGTGTAGTAAATACACTAACCGGTAACTAGTTTATCATTAAGTGTGGTGCACTGTACGGAATTGTCTGTGCTCTGCACTAGACGCGTTTACACCAGCATCACCAGAGACATGTGAGGAGTGTGTGTGGTGCAGTGCAACTGTGTGATAGGTGTTTTCCAGCTCCATTATAATTGTAGAGGACCCACCTTCGAATATGCGGTTCCTCATTGACCAAAATGTCATGGTCTGGGCCGTGACTGCAGCTCTGACTTACTGTTTTTATTGTCCTGAATGTATTCAAAAGACCAAGTGGGTCTTGATTTGTTTATTCTTTCTTTAATAGAAATTTGGATTATCTCTAGGTTCACTGTTATAAGTAACAGCATTGTCTCTTTAATATGTAAGTAGTATTCTGTAATAAGATGTGTGTATATATAAGTCATAGCCTTAAAAATTAGGTCTTTGTATGCAGTTTATTACATGGATGTGGTAATTGTATGCTAGCTGTTCAGTTTGGCTGGCTTGCTTACTTGTGTAGTCAGAACCCTGCGTCGAATTTTTAGTGTCTACTTTATGGGTATTATTTGATTTGTAGGAAAATTAATTTTATCCCTGGATAAAGACACTTATGAAGAAACTGGACTTGAAGGTCATCCATCTAAGTATTCTGGCAGAAAAAGTATGAGATTTAGTAAGTATGATTTGTGCCCTATCAGTTTCCAACAAGTTAGTTACCTTCCTGTGACCATTTAATTTTAAATGTTAGAATTGCCTCTCATCTCTTTGTTCAGAAACATAGGGATTTTCCTTGTCTCAACCAATTGAACTTAGCAAAGGATAAAATTGTGCTGTTAAATCTCTCTCTTCAGTTGTAGACTGCATTTTATAAAGAACATATAATTGGACTATTTCATTAGATATGTATGCTTTGTGTCAAAAATTCAAAGTAATGAACCCAAAGTAAGAGTCTAAAACTTTTTTTTGCCTAAGATTTATTTATTTATTTGAAAGGCAGAGTCGCAGAGAGGCAGAGAGAGAGAGAGAGAGAGAGAGAGAGAGAGAGAGATCTTCCATCCTCTGGTTCGCAAAGGGCTGCAGTGGCTGGAGCTGGGCTGCTCCGGAGCCAGGGACCTCCTCCAGGTCTCCCATGTGGGTGCAGGGGTCTAAGGATTTGGACCACCTTCCACTGCTTTCCCAGACACACTAGTAGGGAGCTGGATTGGAAGTAGAACAGTGGGAATTTGAACCAGTGCCCATATGGGATGCTGGCACTGCAGGTGGTGGCTTTACCCCTACGCCACAGTGCTGGCCCCTAAAACTACTTCTTAATAAAGAATTTCCTTTGACTTTTTTTTTCCCCAAGTCTTTATGATTCCTAATAGGAATCCGTGAGTGAAGACATGTTCTGCTGTCAGTGTCTGGGCTGGGCATCAGTAGAGAAGGCCACTGTGTCCATAGGTGGATTATAGCGGCCCTCCCAAGGACCCCTGCCCTGTTCTTTATTTTTTTATTTATTGAAAGAAAAAGAGAGGCCCCATTGACTTCCCAAATGCCCAGAACAGCTTCGGGGCCAAAGCCAGGAGCTAGGAACCCCACATGCATCTCCTCCGTGGAATGGCAGGAACTCAGTTAGTCGAGCCATCCTCACTGCCGCCTGGGCGCTGCGTTAGCAGGAAGCTGGAGTCAGGAGTGGAGCTGGATACTGAACCCACGATGGGACGTGAGCATCTCAGCGTCTTACTGCCAGGCCAGATGCCCGCTCTGCCCTTGGTCTCTGCCCTAGAGAAGATAGGAACTTAGACCAGGGTTGTGACTAGCTCTCAGTGCTGGAAATGCCTGGTAAAGGGATCGCTTTGATTGGCTAAACCCAGAGAGTACAAGAACAAAATAATTTTCACTATCTGTGATATTTTTAAAATTTCTGATTTACAGAATACAACACTTGTCTGCAGTGCAGGCTGTATGTGATGTATATGTATGCATAAAATGTGTATTCCTTCTTGCATTTTTAAAGTCGTTTCCGTTGATTTGATGGAGTTATCCTTTAACCTGAATTCTAAGAAGTATAAGAGAACATCTTGGTCCTTCAAAGAAAAGAAGCCCCTGAAGTTCAATTTTCTTTTCGCTTGGCACAATACAGGTATGAAGAATAAATAACACGACAGTGCGGTGAGTTTGAAGTCTAATTGTTAGGTACAGAGGAATAATGGGAGTGAATGGTGGTTCATCCCTGTGGTCAGGGTTCTGTCATATACATGTGTGTAACTATCCCTGTGGTCAGGGTTCTGTCATACATGTGTGTAACCATCCCTGTGGTCAGGGTTCTGTCATACATGTGTGTAACCATCCCTGTGGTCAGGGTTCTGTCATATACATGTGTGTAACCATCCCTGCGGTCAGGGTTCTGTCATACATGTGTGTAACCATCCCTGTGGTCAGGGTTCTGTCATATACATGTGTGTAACCATCCCTGTGGTCAGGGTTCTGTCATACATGTGTGTAACCATCCCTGTGGTCAGGGTTCTGTCATACATGTGTGTAACCATCCCTGTGGTCAGGGTTCTGTCATATACATGTGTGTAACCATCCCTGCGGTCAGGGTTCTGTCATATACATGTGTGTAACCATCCCTGTGGTCAGGGTTCTGTCATACATGTGTGTAACCATCCCTGTGGTCAAGGTTCTGTCATATACATGTGTGTAACCATCCCTGTGGTCAAGGTTCTGTCATACATGTGTGTAATAGTCTTGGTTGTTATATATATATAATATATATATTTGACAGCAGAGTTAGACAGTGAGAGAGAGAGAGAGAAAGGTCTTCCTTCTGTTGGTTCACTCCCCAAATGGCCACCACGGCCAGCACGTTGCGCCGATCCGAAGCCAGGAGCCAAGTGCTTCCTCCTGGTCTCCCATGGGGTGCAGGGCCCAAGCACTCGGGCCATCCTCCACTGTCTTCCCGGGCCACAGCAGAGAGCTGGACTGGAAGAGGAGCAACTGGGACTAGAACCCGGTGCCCACATGGGGTGCTGGTGCCGCAGGCAGACGATTAACCTAGTGAGCCATGGCGCCGGCCCCCATTGGCTATTATATTTTAAATTAATATCAATTATGGATGCATCTGTGGCCTACTTACGCATTGTGAGGAAATAACTCACACATGTCATTAAATACTTGTAACTTTTAATTGATTATAACACTACATTTGGCCGGCGCCGCGTCTCACTAGGCTAATCCTCCGCCTAGCGGCGCCAGCACACCAGGTTCTAGTCCCGGTCGGGGCGCCGGATTCTGTCCCGGTTGCCCCTCTTCCAGGCCAGCCCTCTGCTGTGGCCAGGGAGTGCAGTGGAGGATGGCCCAAGTGCTTGGGCCCTGCACCCCATGGGAGACCAGGAGAAGCACCTGGCTCCTGCCATCGGATCAGCACGGTGCGCCGGCCACAGCACGCCGGCCGCAGCGGCCATTGGAGGGTGAACCAACGGCAAAAGGAAGACCTTTCTCTCTGTCTCTCTCTCTCACTGTCCACTCTGCCTGTCAAAGAAAAAAAAAAAAACCACTACATTTAGTTCAGATTGCCATGTTTTTGAACATGTTAATCTGCTTTGACTGTCGAGTGGATTGCCCCTTTCAGAAGTGAATCTTCTGTGCTTCCCAAGCTTACGCTAATCAGATCGGTGGGCATCGCGATGGTGAGGTGCTGGGGAAGCGCAGGGCTCTGCCCCTGAAGGCGAGTCTCTGGTCGCTGCCTGCCCTCGCCGCCTTCAGGAGCCCTGTTTCTGTAGGACCTCGCGCATACTTGCGCGTGTGGTAGGAAAGGAGCAGAGAGAGTTCCTGAAGTGTCAATTGCTTGAATCCTGTGAAGCCACCACACTTGGCTGTGAATAGCTCCTGTTCCTAAGACTCTTGAGTCCTTCAAGGATTTGTTAGGGACTCTGAAAGGTCTGGGATTTCACTTCACTTGCAGGCTTACCAGGTGGCCTCCCGGAGTCTTGGGGTTGCTGGAGTAAGATATGATATTGTTGGGTCAGAGACAGTGGACTTAATTCCTCAAAGCAGTAGCAGTGGGCAGCGTCTATTCGTCAGGATTCTCCAGAGACAGAACCAAAAGGTGGATGCATGGGCGGATAGAAGAGTGGATAGATGATGGGTGGGTGGACGGATGAATAGGTGGATGGGTGCACGGGTGGGTGGTTGGATAGTAAATGTATGGGTGCATTTACTACGGCTGATGTGAGTATGGAGGTTGAGAAGTCCTCTGTAGTTGTCTGTAAGCTGGGGACCTAAGGATGCTAGTGGTATGGCTCAGTCCCCGTCAGAGTTTCGGAACTGGGGAGCCAGCGTTGCAGCTGCTGGGGTTCCAGAGGCTTGGGTCTTGGAGTTTTGCTGTTTAGCAGCAGGAGAAAAGGATGTCCCCGCTTGAGAGAGAGGACAGATTTGCCTTCCTTCTGTCCTGTGCTCTCTGGGCCTTTGGTGGACAAGATGGTGCCCACCCATGTTGAGGGCAGATCTTCTCCACTTGGCTTGGCAACTCATATGCCAGCCTCCTCCAGAAATGTCCTCGCAGATAGACCGGAGGTCGGCTTTACCACAGCTGCGGTACCCTCGGAGCAGGCCAGTTGACACCAGGTGTCAGCATTAGCACCGGTTACCAAGTCCCAGTTCCCATGGCGTGACCCGGAGTTGGGCAGGTAGTGCTGGCATTTGCCATAGGTTCTATCATGGGAGAACCCAGAACTTCAAGAATTCACATTTTTTTTTTAAAGTATTTTATTTAAAAGGGAGAATGACAGAGAAGGTGAGACATAGAGAGATCTTCCATCCACTGGTGCACTCCCCAAATGGCTGCAATGGCCAGGATCCTGGAACTCCATCCGGTCTCCCACGTGGGTGCAGGGGCCCAAGCACCTGGTCCATCTTCCTCTCCTTTCCCTGGGGCATTAACATGGATCTGGATCAGAAGCAGAGCAGCCAGGACTTGAACCAGCACCCTGATGGGATGGCAGCCTCACAGGCAGCGGCTTAACCTGCTGCACCACAGTGGCAGCCCCTGGAATTCCCTCTGCACTGTGCAGGCAGCCGGATGAGCTCTGGACAGTGAGCAGGCCTGCCCCGTGCTCCACCAGGGGTCCGTCTTTCTCTCTTCCGAGGTCGTTGGCTCTGCAGACACTCCTGAAAGACACCCTAGATTTTACTGGGTTTTCCAGGGCAAGCTCAAATGAGACTTTATCATCATTAGTTCTGCTTCTGTTTCCTACGTAGAGACTGTACAGCTGTGTTCCGTTCTCTGTAGAGCTCACCAGTGTTAGTCATCCATAAAGAATGTATCAGCTGAAGTTTCCTTGTGAGGGCAAACAGTGGAACTCGTGTGGGTCTGGTCGGAAAGTGTACTTTTCCAGGAAAACGTGAACGGAGACGAGTGTTTACAGAGCTCTGGACAAGGAGCTGGAAGCCACTGTAAAGGACGGTGACTTGAATGCAGCTTTGCATAGCTTCCGCCTTACGTAATCCCGCCTGCTTCCCCTCACTCTCGGACGGGAATGGGGTAGGGTCGGGGATTCTCTGGACCCGTTTGCAGTATGCTAACGTGGGATGCTTTCAGGTGCTGCAGAGTCGTCCCTGATGTCGTACTTCTCCAACTACCACATCCAGGAGCATCAGCCCAGAGTCTCCGGGAGCAGCCTGGGGGAGCTGCCCTGCCCCGTGCTGCAGAGCGACTACATTGCGGGCCTGCCGGGCGTGCTCTGCGGGGCGCCGGAGCTCTTCGAGTGGCTCGGCGCCGTCTGCAGCAACGTGGACCAGTGCGTATCCGCCGTCCCCCATCCTGCCCGGCCTTGGTGTTTCCATAACATCACCGCTCCGGACGTGAGCCTGTGGTGGCTACAAATGCGTTTTCTTTTCTTTTGTTTCTCTGTGACAGAAATAACGAACCCCACAATTTCATATCCACCTACTGCTGTCCTCAGCCCAACACGGCCTTGGCAAAGGCGTATCTGTGCAGCATCACCGGTTTCCTGCTTCCCGAGAAGATCTGCCTGCTGCTGGAGCGGCTGCGGTGAGGACGCCTGGCCTTGTGTGTCCTGCTCGGCCACTCAGGCCGCGGGCGGTGCTGAGGTTCCACGTCGCAGGGCCCCCCGTGACTCCCCGTTCCCTTGCTTGGCCTCATGGTTTAGTAACATCGTCCTGTTCAGTGGCGTGGTTTTCCCTGATGGGAACATTGAGTGGCCAAGCGCTCGTCCCGACAGAGAGAAGAGCAGAGCGGAGCTTCGGTTCCTTAGGCGTGAGCTGCTCGCTCCGTTGGCCCTGCTGCCCCGTGCCGCTGGGTACGGCCAGAGTCACTGTGTCGCTTAAAACGCAGCACACTCCTTGTGGCACGTGAGCTGCGTTAAGGATGGGAGTTCTTCAAGATACTTCATTCTGAAGTGGGAGCAAACAGTTGGCCGTCTCAGAATCCAAATCACCTCTAAGATTTGTCCCGTTATAAGAATTCTGTGAACCGCTGGGCCTTGGTAATGTCCCAGGGATGGCATAGAACAGATAGGTGTTTCCGTCAGGGGCGGTTCTGTGCCTCACGTGAGGGCTCTCCGATCCCTGTCACTTGAGCTCAATCCTCTTTGCTCATCTTGCATCTTCAGTCTCCGCTTTTAAAATGTCCAAGGTTGAAGGCCCGAGGGTCTTATCATAAGTTTAGCACCCTTTCTCCCATATTTTAGTTTAATGCATTGGCTTTCTTTAGCAAGAATGTCAGGTTGGTGAAAATCTGGTGAGTTATTCCACAGCATTTCTGGTAACAGACACTTGACCGGTGGTCTCGCCGGGAGGGGAGCTGTCCTGCCGCCCTTGCCAGGCCTGCTTTTGCCGGTTGGTTCTTGCAGGTGGCGCTCCAGAGCTGGAGTGGGCTTTGCTGGGTGTACTCACACTTCTTATGGAGGTCGCACAGTGTGACATCAGAGATTGAATCTGCATGTCCTGGGCTTTGGCTGTAAAGCTGAGGTCTCGATTTCATAAACACACCAGAAATACTGCTTACACTGGATAAGCTTTTAGCAATCGGAGCGTCCCTAAGCCCCCTGGTTTAAGAGGTGTCTTCCTTTTCCAGCCACTACTTCGATGAGCCGAAGTTAGCTCCGTGGCTAACACTGTCGGTCCACAGCTTCGCAGACAGCCCTGTTGCATGGAGAGAAAAGGAACACGGTTTTCACAAAGGAGGCGAACATATATATAACTTCGTGATTTTTAACAATCAGGACTATTGGCTTCAGTTGGCTGTTGGTGCCAATGACGACTGTTTCCTGTGAAAAATGCAAACAGCAGAACTATTTGTGGGGCCAGTGTTGTGGTACAGTGGGTCAAAGCTGCTGCTTGGAGTACTGGCATCCCATATCCGCACTGGTTCGAGTCCTGGCTGCTCTGCTTCTGATCCAGCTCCCTGCTAATGCTCCTGGGAAAGCAGTGGAAGATGGTCTACACAGATGTGGGAGACGTGGATGGAGTTCCTGACTCCTGGCCTCAGCCTGGCCCCAGTCCTGGACGTTGTGGCCGTTTGAGGAGTGAACCAGCAGATGGACGATCAATCTCTGTATCTCCGTCACTCTGCCTTTCAAATAAATACATAAATCTTTTTAAAAGTATTATATCCTGTTTGTTTATGCTTTAGAAAGGCTGTGTGTGCACTCTGGCTTGTACAGTGATGACATATCTCAGGGCAGCCTCAGCCAGCATTCTGCTCTGGCCTTGGGGCCAGTCTGCCAGCAGCTGGGTCTCTTCTGTGTCAGTGTCAACATGAGGTTTTATAGAGGAAGCCTGAATGGCCAGGCACCCAGGGAGGATTAAGTCCCTGAGTGAGAAGTGTGGTGTCGCTCAATTTTCTCATAATTAAAAGAAATCTTTGTGTCATCCTTACTAGGGCTACTCCCTGCTGTAGGTGGCATTGTGTAGTGGCTTCTTAATGCTGGTGAGTCTGAGGCTTGATCTCAGGCCAGCCTGGTTCATGATTGTGTGTGCTCACCCTGGACCAGGGAAAGACCAATGAAGACCGTCAGTTGTTAGCAAACAAGTTGAATTTCTCGTCCAGTGTGGCTGATAGGGGCCGGTGGAGAACAAACTTCTGCAATATGCATGAAGAACGATGCTTTAAAATGTGTCAATAAGCTGTGCAAAGGCACAACTGAGCTTTTCACAGGCCAGGGTGGGGAAGGGGCAGTAAAACAGTTTTCCTGCCCAAGGGAGGAAAACTGATGGAAGACCTCATAAAGCTGAGACCCCAAAAGAATCGACTTAGTGTGAGTGCAAGCTGTGAATAAAACTGTCCACTTTCCCCATTCTCCCAAGGAACACTGTCCCCTGAGAGTGTGTGTGCATGCAAACACGGGAATATACATAGAGAATGAAGTAGTGTGGAATTTATAATACCTTAAAAGTGCAGCAGATGTCTGTGTAGCAGTCCAGAATAGCTTGAAGACTGAGGGACGGGGCTGGTGTTCTGTGGGTGCCTTTTTGAGTCCCGGCTGCTCCACTTCTGATCCAGCTCTCTGCTGTGGCTTGGGAAAGAAGTGGAGAATGGCCCAAGTGCTTGGGCCCC